TATATGAACTTTTGGGATATGAATATAATTGTACATTGATGTTTTAAATTATAGAATTTTGTTAGACTGTTTGTTATTGATTGAAGACTATAGATAGCTCTGGTAAATGATTGATGGTTTTAATGGATTGACTGAAATTCTTTCCAAGTTAGATCTTGGGGCGTGACATATAGTAATAGACATCGGCCAATCAGCAATAACTTGAACCTTTATTCTAGCACTGCTAACTACATGTCCCAAAAATAAGATACTTTTTAGCTAGATCTCACACTTAAATTTAACATATAATTGATTGTCTCAAAGTCTCTAGAACTATCCTCAGATGCATAACATGATTCTCCTCAAAAGCAGAATAAACTAAAATATCATCTATAAAGTTAATCACAAACTAAACCACATACTCTTTGAACGTTTTGTTCATCAAATCCATAAAATTAGCTAGTGTGTTAGTCACCCCAAGAGACATGACTACGGACTCATAATATCCATATATGATTTTGAAAGCAGTCTTCACCACATCAACCTCTCTCACCATTATCTGATAATTCATAATGCAAATCAATTTTAAAAATTTTAGAAGATCTAGTAAGCTGATTAAATATATCATTAATTCATGGCAGAGAATACTTATTCTTGATAGTGATTTTGTTAACCTCTATGTAATCAATACACATACGCATCATACCGTCTTTTTTTCACAAATAGTATAAGTGCTTCTCACATAGACACACTAGGACAGACAAAACATTTCTCAACTAACTCTTGAAGCTGTACATTCAATTCATGAAGTTTCTTAAATGTCATTCTATATGAAGCCTTAGGTATATGAGTCATACATGAAAATATATCAATGCAAAACACAATATCTTGATCTAGAGAAAAATTGACACATTGGGAATTCTTGCACTATTGGTACATTAGAAATAAAACCAAAATTTATTCTATTATCCTGAACCGATGCTAGAAATATTATGTAACCCTTCTTCCATAATCTATCTACTTTTACAGCAAAAATCAAACATGATAAAATACCTCTAACCCCCTGAAATAAATAACACTTACTGCCCATAAATAAAGTGACTCTCTTTTTCACACAATCAATTTGAACCTCATACCGACTCAATCAGTCCATTCCTAAAATAACATCAAACTCATAAACAAATAATAAAATTAAGCTAGACCTCTACTTTTTATCATACATTTCAATATCATAAAAAGAACTTCAATTTGATATCAAGCCATCTTTAGTTATTAAAGTAGCATACAAAAAATAATAATAATAAAATTGAAGGCAAGTATAGTGAATTAAAATAGCAATTGAAATTAAATGAATGACTGACTTTAGAATTAAATAAAATATGACATGACTAATCAGAAATACAAGTCATACATATCACAATATCTGGGGCATCCTAAGCCTCCTCCATAGTTAAACTATGCCCACATGAATGAACTGAAGCTAAAGCAACAAAACTATCAGACTCCCTTTGAACAGTAAACGGTTTACTTGCTACCGTGCCTGCTATAGAACTCGATTCACCTCATCTATAAGATGATCCCTCAAAAAATGTAGCTGCCCTCAGTCTCCTTGTGGGTCTGATAAAACTCTTCGATCAGGCTCAAATCTTTGATCAAAACCTACTTGTGGCCTCAACCACCCTATGTCCCATCTGACCACACCAAAAATATTATCATGTCATCTTGTAACACTGATCATAGTATTATCTGCCATAACTACGACATACATGCTCTTTACTAATAGAACTAGAACTGGCCACACTATCACAATCAAAAATTGCTACAGTTACAGACTATCTTCTTCTCTTAAAATCTCGAGGTCCAAATATGCTCTTCTTTCTAAAAAATCCACTACCATAAGTCTCACTGTCAAAATGCTTTATTTTAGTATTCAATCACTGTTAAGGAACTATCAGATCATTCTCAATCAAACAGGCTCTCTCCATAAGTTTAGAAAAATCAGAGATATGGAATGAGTGGTGGCTATCTGATAAATTGTTGAGCATATGTAATAGCTCGTATTTTGACCAAGATAAATAATTTTTTTTATGAGTGTGAGATTAACCAGGACTACTATGTTTCTTTTTGTTTTAGTTATTATTTCATATTCATGATAGAGTAGAAAATGAATATATATATATATATATATATATATATATATATATGAGACTATGAATGAGTCGGCCCCCTTGTTTCCCTTTTGAAAACCTGAAATAAAACATAAGATGAACTGACAATTTAGTCTCTTGATGCCCTTGATCCAAAGGTTGGGATGTGATCTTGCTACCCTTGAGGATTTAAAGGAAATGATGGATGCTCTCTTGATAAAAATCAACCATAAAACCTAACTTGGATGGTTGGGATGAGGGCTATTGCTAAGAGAAAAAAGACAAAACCCCTTCTATTCATGTGGCCACTAAACTAAACCCTAACATTTTACACAATAGAGAAGACCATCATACCCTTATTAATTTGAAATGAATGGCCAAGATTGGATTAAATTGAGAGCTGAAATTATTTGTGCTTGCATTTAGATTTGAGTGAATTTTATGATATATATATATATATATATATATATATAGTTTTATTTTTACTTGTTTGTATATTGATAAAATTAATTAGATAAAATACAAAATGCAGGCATGCTCATAGAGGGTGCCCTTTTCCTTATAATGCTATTCACAAATGTTGAAACTTGTTTATTTTTATCTTACCTATCCCAGGTAGAGATGTATGAGAGCTCACCCAGCCTTAATGGTGGCTACCTCCACTACAGCTTCAGAACCACTTGCCTCCTCAATCACGTTGCTAGAGGCTCCTAGGTTCAACCAAAAAAAATCAATGTGAAGAATAATAGTGATGGCCTCAATAGTCACAATCTTAGTAGTTGGTGCAATGACATCCTCATTTTCCACCCCAAGGTTGACTCTACTCTTCTTTGCAAGAGGTGCTATGATGAGCTTGTGTGTCTCTAGAGTAGCCTACACACCTCTATCATCTTCAATGATCTTAGATTCCTTTACCACTTTTATTCTTAGATCTCTCTTCTCGCTCGTAATGGAAGGTGACCTTCTTCATCAACCTCTAGTCAAAATGAGCCAACCCAACAAGGTTCATTATCTGAAAGACTTGCGAGCTTGCTAATCACCAAAGTAGAAAAAGTAGAAAAAGTGGAGTTTTCTCAACGCAAACGCTTATTTATAAAAGAGCTAAGTAAGAGGTAGCATCACATCACCATTATCAATATATGATCATTACGATCCTCTAGTTTATAATAAATGGGACAGCTTATTCATATTTATTCTTCGTACTTATTATTTTGTAGCCTTATTTAATGCTCACCATCTTTTTATTCCCTTGCACTATTTGTCGCTTGCCTATTAAAGGATCAAGTGAATCAAAGAACTAAATGTATACTTGTGTATGCCTTTACAGGTAGTTAGTTGGTAGCTAGTAGGTGATGACATATGAACTCACTCTCAAAGGGGGCCTAGTGGGGAATATCGCCTGGAAGTCATGCATGAAAGCTCTCAGAAAAAGTCTAGAAGGTGTCACTCGCTCGGGCCTTCCAAGAGCTCAACTTGCATGGGCTAGATTGAGGATTCCTCTTGAGAGCTAGTAGCTCGACACTTTCCACATGCCTATACCACATCCCAATCACTCGATCCCTCTTATGACAATCATTATCACCAAATTCAGCCACATGAAGGCGCCTATTCATGGGACCCTCAGTTCAACCGCTGCTACCATTCTAGTTAGCCTCTCCCACCTCGTGATAACATCTCACTCACCCCTCTCTTATGAGGAGATCCTAGAGCTTCCATGCAGTCCTCCTAACATGTCATCAACCGGCAAGCTATCGATCGCCCCTTTTATTAGTGCTCACTTGTAAACTCGCTAGAGCACACTCGCTCTCATCTACTCAGCGTCATTGAGTTACCCTAGAGGCAACTCGCTAAAGCTTTACGACCTTGCCCTCCTTCAACCAATCAGGAAGTGACATATGTATAGAATAGTGTGTAATATTGTACAAGTATTGTGTATAGTTTGTACTTTTCTCTTTATAGCCTTTCATGTAGCTTATAAAGGATCAATTTGTCGACTTTTTTGACTGATATAGTGCATACTCAACGAGTTTTGAGACTAAGAGTTTCTTGAGTATTTTATAGATTCTCTCTCTCTCTCTCTCCCCCCCACCACCAATTCTCCTACAGGTTCTCAGAACACTTGCACACTCTCAGGGTGCGGTGTCTTCCACGAATAAATTTGAACACAATACTTACAACACAATAAAATTATATACTTAGCCTCTATTTCATTTCAAAGTAGAGTCTAATCAACCTAATATAACTTCCAACAATCAATTTATTCTCATTTACATCATAACAAATTATAAAAAGATATGACCCAAAAATCACTTGTAAGTAAAAAAACATTAAAAAAAAATTCACATCAAACTAAAAACTAAAATGACAAAGTTAGTTTAAAATCATTTTTAGCCTGATCAAACACCTAATTAAAAAGCCTAAAATTTTATTCACATTTAGATTTAGTGATTGTTTGATTGCAAGATTTAACCAATATTTAAGCTATATCTTGCTAAATACTTTTTTTTTAATCATATAAATATCTATATCTTCTTAAATTTCATTTTTTGCTAAATCCAAATTTTAGTAGTGAATCCTCAATGAAGCATTTCTCCATTCACTTCTTATTTTAATTTAAATTTTAAATATTAAAATATATGTCAAATTAAATTTTTTAATTTTAATTAAATTTAATGTTGATCATATCTAATAAAATTTAAAATTTAAAATTTAAAATTTAATTCCTCTGAAATTTACTAAATTTCAATTTACAATGTTTACTAAACGCTCGTTGGGTAAAATCCTAAGCCCTTTAGGTGGACCGCACACTAGTTTACTAATAATTTTTCCTTTAGGTGAGTCGAAGTATTAATGCAGTCGACGTTGTTGGCTGTATTTAATTGGCATATCTGAATGCTCTTCAGCTCAGAACAACAATGAAAGACGCCTCTCTGTGTCCCCAGGCGCGTTTACTCCTTCAGCTTCCTCTCCTTGAAGAGGCAACAAGGAGAAAAAAACATCTTTACAGCAGGCTCTCCTACTCTTGCTGAATCCGAACACCAAGTCCTTCTACGGCGGCGGCGCCAACTTCGGACGATGTCGGCGACGAAGCCTTGGTTGGTCCCTGCGCCGACCTATCGCCGCCTCGAAGGCTTCTGGGACACTGACGACGATGCCCCTGGCCCTCGCTGCGCTCACACGCTTACTGCCGTTGCTGCAACCAAGTCCCATGGCCCTCGCCTCATCCTCTTCGGCGGCGCCACTGCTATAGAGGCCGGCGGACCCATTCCCGGCATTAGTAACAATTCCTCTCTTCTCTCCCTTTCTCTTATTTTTCTTGTCTTTTGCGCTCCGATTGATTTGTTGCCTAATTGGATGCGAAGGGCTGGCTGGAGTGACGAATTCGGTTCACTCTTACGATCTTTTGACCAAGAAATGGACTAGGTATGAAAAAAAATGGAATCTTTGGTGGTCTTTTGAGCTGGGATTGAGGTATATGCGGTTTGATTGGTTGTCAGGATTCAGCCGGCGGGGGAGGCTCCGTCGCATAGGGCTGCTCATGCTGCTGCGTTGGTCGGTACTATGGTGGCATTTCAGGTGATGGCTCCTCACTTGAGTGGATTTATTACCTTTTTTTTGTTTTTGGTTTTAGGGTTTATGGCAACTGGATTTTTTGTCTTACGTTAGGGTGGAATAGGACCTGCGGGGCATTCTACTGACGACCTATATGTGCTTGATATCACCAATGATAAGTATAAGTGGCACAGGTGGAGTTCATTTTGGCTGATTTATGTTTATGGGCGAGTATCTGTTGGGTTTGTGATTAATGGTGTGTGCTTCTGGGTGATGCAGAGTTGTTGTTCAGGGAGCTGGTCCAGGGCCTCGTTATGGTCATGCCATGGACTTGGTTGCGCAGCGATATCTTGTTTCAGTGAGCGGGAATGATGGTAAGTTATGTACCTTGGCACTGCATTTGTCATGATATTAGTTGAAGAAAGTTTAAGAAGTAGGATAAATATTTTTTAGGCTAACACAAGTAGTAAAATGAGCGATTTTATTTGGTTTCCTAATTAGTAAGAGGGGAAATTATTAGGTGCTGATACCGGACGGACGTAGAGATACGTCCGGACTCTAATAAAATGTTGACACGTGGATATTCAATTGGATTTATTTTTTTACTTTATATATTTAATGTGTCCGCGGAACTTTATGTCAAGCACAGCTAAAGCGTAGATAAAGTGCAGCTAAAACGCAGTAAAAAAGCGCAACAATAGAACAGCAAAGCGCAACTAAAGTGCAACTAAAACGCAGGTAAAGCGCACAAAAAAAGTGCAACAAAAGCGCACTCCACGTGTGACATTTTAAGTGGATGCCCGGATGTATCTCAACGTCCGGACTCCGCACCTAATAATTTTTCTTAGTAAGAGGGTGAAGGCTTGCTGAAAACTAATGATATTCTCTACAAGCAGTCATTGGCTAGTAATTAACTATGTTCTTCTTCTATATTACATATTAGTTTACACAAAATAGTTGGAGGAGAGGGAAAAGTAGGAGCATTGATGTAGACAAAGGGGGGGTCAACACAAGTCCAAAATAATTCAGATTTTGACTTCCCTTGAGTCTAGTGGTTCATCATATTTGAGCTAAACTTTTAGTTCATTTATGAGCTGAACTTTAGTTCATTTATTGAACTAAGGGTTAGCTCATTATGAGCTAACATTTTAGTTCATTTATTATCTTTAATTAATATAGTTTTATGCTTTTTATGTTTGCTTTTATGTTTGTCTCTTGGAATTCCAAACCGGCTTTTGGAATTCCAAGATTTCTTTTTCCCATGGTTTTCTCATCCCCTCCGGAAATCCTGCGGGCTCTTTCCACCATTTCTTCTCGGGCTTCTAATCTCTTCGTCTCTCCGCAAGTGCCACTCCACCTGTATCCTTCTTCTCAAAGTGCAGCAACTTTAGGGTGTCTGTCGAGTTGTTTGTAAGTCGTCGTCTTAGTTTTTTTTTTTATTTGGTTGTTTTTAAAATTTGAAATATAAGAGTTTGTTCTTCCCTTTAGTTTGTTCATCTCTTTTCTAGTCTTTTCTCTATTTTTGTCGTTAGAAGTCCGTCGAGTCTATTGTGGGCGAAGGGTATAGGCTCCCTGTATTTTTTCGCCCGCATCAAGCATACGAGATGGCTTTGTTTTCAAACAAAATTCTTTTTAACTTATTTGCATTTAGGAAAAGATAAAAACTCTATGAATTGTGAGATTAAGAGAACTAGTATGTAGAATAAATTAGTATCTGTGTAATTAATTTTTGTTAAGAATTGTCATTTGATTTGTCAAATTCAGTACCGGCCTATGTTGAATATCATTGGGCATATTCTTTATGTTATTTTATTTGATGGTAGTATCTTTGTCTCAATGATTTAGGCTTCGTTTGGGACGGCTTTTTTATTGTTTTTTAAAACGGAGTTTTAATACAAAAATTAAAATTTTTTAACTAAAACTCCATTTTAAGAAACAATAAAAAAGTCATCCCAAACGAAGCCTTAATCTTGTATAATGCACACCAGTATGAAGAAATGTTGACTAAAATGTAGATGAAATGCATTCTCTTGCTTGATGATTGGGTATCTTGCATGACATTGCATGCTATGCCGGTTATGTTTCTATTGTAATTCTCATTTCTCTCGCATTCAATTTAGCTATCAATCATTTTTATACTGCTCAATATTCCAATCCATGGAGCATAGATGGCTTAATTGCAATTTTATGTTATTTATATCTCATTCCTTTAGTTTTTGTGAAAAATGAGTTTTACAGTATCATGATCCATAGACTTTTTTCCTAATTTCTTTTGAGTGATAATATTATTGAAGTTATGCGGTTGATTATTTTCATTCAGGGAAGAGGGTTCTATCTGATGCTTGGGCTTTGGATACTGCACAGAAGCCATACAGATGGCAAAAACTCAATCCTGAAGGAGATAGACCATCTGCTAGAATGTACGAACTTCAATTCGAAATCCTGATCGGAATTATGTTATTGCTTAATCTTAAACTTCAACTACCATGTTGATGTTGGATATTTGTTGTTTATAAATTTGATATGTATGCAAATTTGTGATTTTTAGACATTCAAAAGTTAATGTAAAAATTATTAATTGTGTGAAAGTTGTCTAAGGTTTATAATTTTATTTAGTTAAATCAACGCTTTTGATCAAACATAGCATTTTGCAGTGATTGTGTTGGGCATTATTACTGCTATTGAATCTCTTCATGTATATCTCAAAGTTATTGGGCACATATTTGTTGTTTTACTAAATTACTTGAATCGTGTGGAGTATAATGTTTATACACTTGAAAATCTCTCTGTGAAGGTTTTTTTTTCTTTTGTCTTTATTATGTTAAAAGAATGGGGATATAGACAATGATATGATTATAAAGTTAAAAATGGATTGGTTAAATGAGATGTGCATCAAGAGGATTATATTATAGGAGAATATTTGAAAAGTTACAGGGTAGGCTTGGAGAATTGGTTAAGTTGCCTTTAGTGAATTATAGGTACTAGATTTTAGTCATGGAAAGAAACTCTCTGCGTATGTAGAATTAATTCTGCATTATCCCTTCTTACATCATGGATTAGTAGGAGCTCCATGCATTGGGTACATTGTTTATCTGAAAACATAAAAGTTAATTCTATAAAATGACAATAATAACAATTATGTTTTATTGATCTGAGTGGTGGAGAACAATAAAAATTTTGAATAACTAAATTGAGTGTAGATGAAATAATAATGTTAAGATGAATGTTTGGCAACTTTAGGAAGTTGGAGTGTAAAATGATTATATTATATAGATTGAGGGAAGATCACCTATTGAAGACTGTTGTACATAGAAAATAAATTTAGGCGATTCGATCATAAATTATGGAGAGTGGAGATGCACCAATAGGGTGAGATAAGATTAATGTAAAAAAATAAGGAGGAAAGAAAGGTGGGAAGCAATTGACATGATTAGAAGCTGAAAAACTTTATCTAAATTAGATTTAATAATACCTGAAGTACTAAACAAAATGAATGGACATGCCTACCTCAAATATTGGGATATGGCCCAGAAAATGATTATCCTTGCAAATCTCAGAAGGCTTTTATTCAATCTATATAGCTATAGGTTTTAACATCAGAAAATGTCATCACATTAGAAGTTATCTTTAGCTTGGAAAAACAGGCTGTAGGTCTAGGTCTGTTCTTTTTTTAGGCCTTCTGGAAATTTCCCCTTCCGTCATGGCTGCAACAGATACTCATATCTGTCAAAGATGTATTATTTGCATCATTTTAATTGAAATAATTCTTCTCATTCCTCACTTAAAATGCCAATAGAAAACTCAAAAGATGTGCAATGGGGTGTTAGTGTTATTCTGTAAAAGTTATGGGCTACAAGATAACTTTAACCATCACAATATAAAATGTTGATTTTAGATTTTGTCTCTTTTAATAAAAATTGAGTATAGCAGATTTAACAAAAGATGAAGTAATTTATGATTATGTTAAAATGTGGTATTTTTTTTTTCCCGCTAAAAGGTTCAATCCAACTTATTTTTTTCAATTGTGTTCTTTTTGTTATCTATTTTGTGATACTTCTAGCTGTTTCTGTTAGCAATTTCTTTCAAGAGATGATAGTTGTATTGATTTTCAGGTATGCAACAGCGAGTGCTCGTTCAGATGGCATGCTATTGCTTTGTGGTGGAAGAGACTCATCGGGAGCTGTATGACTTTTTCTTGTTTCATCCCTTCTTTGGCCCTTGGTTTTATAGCTTACTCTTATATTCTATTTTGTTTTGTGGAACTCAACGATTATGTTCATTACAAATTATGCTTGAAGTCTTACGTGACAAACCTTTGATGTATGACATCTTCAAATATTGGGTTTAGTAATACAACTTAAGATGAGTTGCATCAAAACCACACTAAAAATTGCAATTCATAGGTTACTAACTTTAGCAAATATTTCTCACCCTTGATGCAAAAATAATAAGCATGTTTATTTTATTCTAAGCAGTAATTTAACATCCACCAAAATTTGAAATCTCACCAGAATAAACTAAGAGCAAATATAAGATTTAGCAGCGATCAAAATTCAATCCACAAAAAGCAATCTGTCATGGATCAAATTTGACAAAACTTTAATATTGCACATGCATCAAAAGTAGCGACTAAACAAATTAGTATAAAGAACAAGGATTGAAATCATCCTATTGAAGATTCAACTTCATACTAGTAGAAGGAGAATCATCCCCTGAAGTGGTCATTAAGATCTGAAAGATGTCAAAGAATACACATAAAAAACACACGTATTGAGAGAAAGTATGTAATTTAATTGAATAATAAAGACCTACTTGTAATAACTTCTCAGAATCTATAGGATTTGGTCCAATATAATAGGTTTTAATAGATCATTCAACCGTCCAATTCTCATTCCAAGACGGCTGTAGATAAAGACTGCAATAATAAAGGATAGTGGAAATTAGACGCACTAATTAAAATGTAGCAAAAGAAAACCTGCTGAGTTGAAGTTAGTGAGAATCAAAGATGTTAAAGTGGAGTTAGTGGGAAGCAGAAGTGGTAACGGTAGTGAAAATGTCACACCCACGCTGACTCCTTACCAATCGACGCAGGGTGCAACAAAGGACTTACAATGTCTATGTTCTGAAATTAGAGACATGATGGGAGGGATAAATAAACTCATTGAATTTAATCATGTTGAGAAAATTCTCCCTTCTTTACGTCACTATTTTATTTTATTTTTGTCTTGCTTTATGTGATTTCTTTTTCTTGGCTTTAATTTTATTTACTTTCGAAGATTGAACTGATGTGGCTCGTATTCAAATTGGGTATACTGCAAAGCCTTGTTTTGTAATAAACGCTGATGGTGCTTGGTTGACTAAAAAGCCTTTTATGTGTTTGTTCTTACAGCCACAATCAGATGCTTATGGATTACTGCTGCATACAAATGGCCGTTGGGAGTGGACTTTAGCTCCAGGGGTTTCACCCTCTCCAAGGTATCAACACTCAGCGGTAAGTAATGTGCTTTGTGCTAGTAATCTTGAATGTAATGGCTGGGCTTTAAAAATTATTCCTGAACACTTTTATGCTTTCATGAGATTGCCAAAATTATCCTCTGAAATCCTCCTATTTTTGGAGATTATGTGTTCTGAGTATTATTCTCTAATTATTTTATTCGGCACATTATGAGATGAAGGATGTTGCTGGAAAAAGAGCTGCTGCCTGTTTAAATAACTTTTAATTTCAGTTTTATCTACTAGGTATTTGTGGGTGCACGCTTGCATGTCACTGGAGGTGTTCTTAGGGGTGGAAAATCTGTTGAAGGTGAAAGTGCTATAGCAGGTAGTCCTTACTATTTAAGCTTTTTGCTATAATGGATTCACATTTATTTCCTCAACTCAAATTACTTTTGTCTCTTTAATGAAGTGTTGGACACTGCTGCTGGAGTATGGCTGGATAGGAGTGGCATTGTTACTTCATCTAGCTTACAAAAATCTTCAAATGATCATGATCCTTCTTTGGAGCTCTTGCGTCGTTGCCGCCATGCATCTGCTGCTATTGAGTCGCAAATTTACATCTATGGTGGTCTTAAGGGAGGTATTTTTGAATGACTTGATTGTATTACCATTGAGTTTAGTAATATAATGTTTGCCATTTGAGAAAGAGACTTTGATGATATGCCTGTGTGGCTAAAATTCCTGTTTTCTAAAATTTTAACTTTGTAAAATTCCTAATATTGTTGTTACTTTGGCTGATCCAGTCTACGATGGTAATAGTTATGTGCCTTAATTTTCATTCCTGAAAGTAATAGGACTTCCCTAGTTGGAAGAAAATCTGTTGCTCTCTGGCTTAAATTTGCAACCTGATGCTGCACCCTATAAACTTTATACTGGTGACTCAATTTACATATTGTCATCAGAATCCTTGTTTTTAAATGATTGATTTAGTAATAGTGAAAATTGATTAAGCTTTAACCATAAGTAATTTTTTTGTCATTATTTCAATCAACACTGGAATCTTGTGTTTGAAGATAATATAAAGTGGTAGTGACAAACAATAAAATGAGCAGGATGATTATTCTCCTCCTAGGAGGAGGAAATCTATCTCTATATATTATATCTGTGTATGTGTGCTGGATGGAATTTTTTCCTTGGAGGATAATGATGTGCAGCCAATTCACAAGCAACCGGCAGAACCGGCCCAAAGGCCGGTTCAGATCTACAGGAGGCGGACAAGTCCGCCTCCCATCATTCGGCCAGCCCACATGGGGGCCCCACTTGATTCAAAAATTGAATTGGTTTGGGCGGCTGGGCTTTAGGAGGGAAAACCAATTAGGAAATGCTTTGTATTAAGTAAGAGGAGGGGGATTAGGTTTTGATTGATTGGAATTAGGGTTTTCTTGGTGGCTTGGGTTCTAGAACAAATTCTAGAGATTGGGAGAGTGCGATCCTCCTCTCGAATAGAGGATCCTTGTATCTTTGCTATTTTTCTTGCATCTACTAGTAAAATACAAGTTGTTTCTCCAAATTTCTCTCAGATTTTCCCTGTTTTCCACTGTTTTGCTGTTTTTTCCTGCTGCGAACAGCAGTTTGCATCGAGATTTGTTATAGAAGTGATTTGGAAATACTTGAAATCAAGTATTTCCTATCAAATTGGTATCAAAGCATCGTCTTGGGACAATCGGCGGCTGAAATTCTGAAATTTCAGCAAGGAATCGTCCTCCGCAAGAGGAATTCTCGACAATCGTGGGAGAAAAGATAGCCGGAAGGAAGGTAGAAGTTCTGGAGGGAGAAATCGTCCAACTGAAGACCAATTTGGAAAAAAGAACAGCTGAATTTCAAAATCAATTCGCATCCATCCATGAAAAGATGGATGGGAGGTTCACGGTCTTGGAGGAAATGATGAAGAAGATGTTGGAGGGCAAGCCAAACCCGACGATATCGGAAGCAAGGGAAGCCACCGGCGACAATGGGAGATACGGCCCCGAACCCATTGAGGGGGAGGGACACTACGAAAGTGGAGATCCTTGATGGGAATGACGGAATGCCTCCGCTAGAACCACTTTCTAGGGAGGAGATGAGCATGGGCTATGAGAGAAGAGGTGCTGAAATTTTTGGGAGAAGGGATGAGTTATACCGTCGAGGTGCTGAAGAGGAGAGGAGAAGGGAGGAGTATGAGGAAGGACATGGGTACGATCGGCGGAGGGAAGGTTGTGACCACTGGGGAGCTTTTCCCCCTCGGGGAGCGGGGGGTTACGGAGGATTTAGGGGAAACGGTAGAGACCCGAGGGTGAGGAAATTGAAGATGTTGCCCATCTTTGAGGACAAGGACGCACATGGCTGGATCTACAAGGTGGAGCGATACTATGTGGTCAATGGGTTGACCGAGGAGGAGAAATTGACAGCGGCAGGACTGTGTTTGGAAGGGAAAGCATTAGCTTGGTACCAGTGGCGGGACATGAGGCGGCCCATTAGAAGCTGGAGGGAGTTCAAGGACTGTCTGCTAGAGCGTTTTCGAACCAGTAGGGGAGGAGACTTCTACGAGCAGTTCTTTGCCCTGACACAGGAGGGGACGATCGCTGAGTACCACGACAGATTTGAGTACCTCGCGAGCAGGATGGATCGTCTCTCTGAGACCGTGTTAGAGGGGAACTTCATGAAGGGCCTTAAACCGGAGATCAGAGCAGCTGTCAGGGTGATGCGACCACGTGACTTGGGAGAAGCCATGGAGTTGGCATAGCTGGTGGAGGACCAGAAGAACCTGGAGAAGGGAGCTCGTAGCAGTAGCTTTGGGGGATCCTACAAGATGACGACTACATTCCTAGCCCCCAAAGGAACTGCCCAGGGAGTACCACGAGAAGCACCAAGGGAGAGGACAGGAGGGGGAAGTGGCAGAAATTTCAAACGGCTGACAAAGAAAGAGATGCAGGAGAAGAGGGCTAAGGGGTTGTGTTTTCGCTGCGATGAGAAGTACACACCAGGGCATCGGTGCAAGGATCGAACTCTTCAGGTTCTCACCATCTACGATGATGAGGAAACTGAGGGAGGTGAGCTAGAGACAGAGGAGGAGAAGCTCACAACTATGAAAGTGAGAGGAGAGATAGAGGACAAGGAGGTGGTGGTGTTGATTGATAGTGGGGCGACTCACAACTTCATTTCCACATAGATCGTTGATCAACTGGGAGTGAGATTGGTGGACACTGGCTGTTATGGGGTGATGATGGGCACAGGGAAGATAGAGAGGGGTCAGGGGATTTGTAGAGGAGTGCGACTGACGATCCAGGGGATACAGGTGAAGGAAGATTTCCTTTCGCTGGAGCTTGGGAGTACATATGTCATCTTGGGGATGAAATGGCTGCAAATTTTGGGGGACACCAAGGTGAATTGGGGAGCACTCACGATGGAGCTGACAATCGAGGGAAAGAAGGTGGTAATCAAGGGAGATGCGGGACTTTCCAAATCCCTAGTTTCTCTTAAAACCATGGTGAGGGACATTCAGTCGGCAGTCGGAGGGTATTTGGTGGTGGAGCTGCACAGCTTGGAGGGAGCGAGATTGGAGGGAGGAGGGGACATCCCTCTCTCCATTCAGCCTTTGATTCAGCAGTTCCAAGAGGTTTTTCAGCCACCTCAGGGGTTACCACCGCAGCGAGAGAGGGAGTATGTCATCGTTTTGAGGGAGGGGGTATCACACATCAGCGTCCGGCCCTATTGCTACCCTCAGTTCCAGAAGGATGAGATTGAACGGTTGATTAGCGAAATGTTAGAGGCAGAAATCATCAGACCCAGTATCAGCTCTTTCTCTAGTCCCATTCAGTTGGTCAAGAAGAAGGATGGCAGCTGGTGGTTTTGTGTGGACTACAGAGCACTCAACAAGGAGACTGTCCCGGACAAGTTTCCTATACCCGTCATCAACGAGCTCCTAGATGAATTGAGTGGGACTGTGATTTTTAGCAAGATAGACTTGAAATCAGGCTACCACCAAATCCGGATGAAGAGGGAGGATGTACCCAAGACGGCTTTCAGAACTCATGAAGGTCATTATGAGTTTTTGGTGATGCCTTTTGGTCTCACCAACGCTCGAGCGACTTTCCAGGCCCTGCTGAATATGGTTTTCAAATCTTATCTCAGACGGTTTGTGTTAGTGTTCTTTGACGATATCCTGATCTACAGCAAGACAGATGAGGAACATTGGGAGCACTTAAAGGTGGATTTCACTCAGACTTTTATTATGGAGACCGATGCATCCGGGTACGGTCTTGGTGCAGTGCTGATGCAGAGTCGGAGGCCTATTGCCTATTTCAGCCAGGTATTGACTGCTAGAGCCAGGCTGTAATCAGTTTATGAGAGGAAATTAATGGCCATCGTGTTGGCCATCCAGAAGTGGCGGCCCTACCTGCTTGGGAGACATTTCATTGTCAGGACAGATCAGAGGAGCCTGAAATACCCGTTGGAGTAGCGGATGGTGACGGAGGAGCATCAAAGGTGATTGTCCAAGTTGTTAGGGTACGATTTTGAGATCCGGTATAGGTCAGGAATGGAGAACAAGGCGGCAGATGTCTTGTCCAGATGTATGGGAGAGCTGCAAGCAGTGGCACTATCCGTGCCTTTGATGCTTGATTGGGAGTACATCAGAGAAGAAAGTTCTAGAGATAAAGATTTGGGAAGGATCAGGTCAGATTTATTGAAAGAGGATGATAGTCACCCAGGGTACTCATTAGAGGGAGACAGACTACTGTTTCAGGGGAGATTTGTGGTGCCCCGAACCTCGATCCACATCCTAAATTTACTCCAAGAATTTCATGGGAGCGTAGTTGGGGGCCATTCAGGAGTGCAGAAGACCTACAGGAGACTGGCGACCGAGCTTTACTGGAAGGGGATGTGTTGAGATGTAGAGGAGATGGTGGCAAGGTGCGAAGTTTGTCAGAGGAACAAATATTTGGCAATGTCGACGGGAGGACTACTACAGCCGTTGGCATTACCAAGACAGATATGGGAGGAGATATCCATGGACTTCATAGATGGACTGCCTCGTTCAGAAGGATTCACAGTGATTTTGGTGGGGTAGATAGATTGAGCAAGTACGCTCATTTCATTCCTCTCCGACATCCGTACACCGCAGTGATAGTAGCCTCAACATTCATCAGGGAGGTGGTCAGATTGCACGGGGTACCAAAGGCATCGTGTCAGACAGAGTAAGGTGTTCCTTAGCCATTTTTGGAAAGAGTTGTTCAAGTTGCAGGGAACAGTTCTGAAAAGGAGCACCGCCTACCACCCGCAGACAGATGGCCAGACTGAGGTGGTCAATAGGAGCTTGGAAACATACTTGAGATGCTTCGTGTCGAATACGCCCAAGCAGTGGGCTAAATGGCTATCATGGGCGGAGTATTGGTACAACACCTCTTTCTACTCGGCTGCACAAATGACCCCATTTAAGGTGTTGTACGGAAGGGACCCTCCTCACTTGGTGCATTTTGGGAGTAGTAGTACTCCCATTTCTTCAGTAGAGGAATATTTGGAGGAGAGGGATAAAGTGCTGGAAGAATTGAAGAGACATTTACTGAGGGCTCAACAGATTATGAAGCGGCAAGCGGACGGCATAGGAGGGACATCCAATTTGAAGTGGGGGAGAAGTTGTATTTGAAGCTCCGACCATGTAGACAGAAAACAGTCGCCAACAGGAGAAATGAGAAGTTGGCTCCTTTGTACTTTGGGCCTTATGAAGTGCTGGAAAAGATCGGAGCAGTAGCATATCAACTGAAGCTACCACCAACGGCGATCATACATCCAATCTTTCATGTATCACTGTTGAGGAAAGTCATTGGTGATTATACAACCAACCCCGAGCTACCAGCGACTCTGACGGAGGATTTAGAGGTGGATTTGGAACCATTAGAACTGATGGGGGTTTGCCTGAAAGAAGAAGGAACTAAGGAAGTGTTGATCCAGTGGAAGAACCTTCCAGACTACGAGGCCACGTGGGAGCCATACGAGAGGGTGAAACATTAATTTCCTGATTTTCACCTTGAGGACAAGGTGGTTCTTTGGGAGCGCGGTATTGATGTGCAGCCAGTTCACAAGGAACCGGCAGAACCGGCCCAAAAGCCGGTTCAGATCTACAGGAGGCGGATAGGGTCCGCCTCCCATCGTTCGGCCAGCCCACATGGGGGCCCCACTTGATTCAAAAAATGAATTGGTATGGGCGGCTGGGCTTTAGGAGGGAAAACCAATTAGGAAATGCTTTGTATTAAGTAAGAGGAGGGGATTAGGGGGGATTAGGTTTTGATTGATTGGAATTAGGGTTTTCTTAGTGGCTTGGGCTCTAGAACAAATTCTAGAGATTGAGAGAGTGCGATCCTCCTCTCGAATAGAGGATCCTTGTATCTTTGCTATTTTTCTTGCATCTGCTAGTAAAATACAAGTTGTTTCTCCATATTTCTCTCAGATTTTCCCTGTTTTCCACTGTTTTGCTGTTTTTTCCTGCTGCAAATAGCAGTTTGCATCGAGATTTGCTATAGAAGTCATTTGGAAATACTTGAAATCAAGTATTTCCTATCAGATAATTTGGGTTTCAATATTCCTTCAAATATTGGATCAAACTTGTCCATTCTCCTTTCATATTAACTATTAACTAGTTTTTTTTTTTTTTTGTAACTATTAACTAGTTGAATGTATGATTCCATAAACTTTTACCATCATCTGCTCTATTGATTTGATGCATCAAAATTTTCTAAATAAATGGTTTCATTGCATGAGTGATTATGTGAATTTTAATGTGTAGTCTAGCAAATGTATTGGAATCTAATACATAGATTATGAATGGTATTTAGAATGTTATTGATGGTTTTAATGTGTGGAGTATATTATGTGGGCTTTTATATGTCTTTTGACTTTGTTTATTTTTTTATTTGCTTGATGAATGATTACCTTATTGAAAAAATGATAAAACTATATCTATAAATAATTTTTATCTTGTTGCTTAAAATCAATATTTTAATACTTGGTTTGAATATAGACAATAAATGGTTCTAAAGGTAGGGGGAGAGTGGTCATCTCCTCCTCAGAGGAGAAATCCCATTTCTCTAACACGCTTACACGTATGTATCTATGTATGCTTATGCATGTAAGTATGTATACCTATATATAAATAAATTATTAGAACTAGTGCACACCAAGTGCCCAATGTATTAATGGATGGATGTTCATCAACCAAAAGCTTAAGATAATGGATAACTAATGGATGAGGTCTCCACTACTAGTATATTAAATACTCAAATCTTATTTCACTTTCACTATGGCGCTATTTTTTACTCTTATGTGTTTATTGAACAATATTCTTATTAATTAGAGTCCCAGACATAGATTAGACTCCCTCTCAAATGAAAGATCTTAAGTACTATCAAACGTCACATAAAAAGAGCTCACTTAATCACATAGAGCTTTTATGAGAGTCGCACACTCTTGAATATTGCTCAACCATGATAAAAGTTACCAACACCAATGGGAGCCACAAATCGTATGAGCCATTTGATCTCAATTGACACTTGTTGGTAGGGTGGAACACTGGAACTTCAACACGTTAGTGGATGTAAATCCTTCAACCCAAAAACTGGGTGAGAAAAACTATTAAAATATTAGAAACTGAGCTCTTATTTCACCTCAAATATGACTTTTTCACTCTCATGTGGATCTCAACAATTACATATGCACAAAAATGACATTAAAAATGAAGATAAGTGCTCCAAAAAAGATAATTTAACATGAGTTTGAAATGTCACCATAAATTTTAGTGTGCAAATAATATTTCTAGTAGTGTATAAGAGTAGCATCATTGAAGATCACTTGACCTTTAGAATTTTGGTGAGTTCGAGAGATGAGCCTCTGCCTTTCAAAATTGTCATATTTGTCTTCATGTGAAGGCACTGACCTTTTCTTCTAGTATTTGTATAATTAGACAAGGCAAATTATTAATGACTTTAAATATGTATTTAGGGATGATAGTGTAAAACACGATGTTAACCCAAATAAATATTTAAAAATGTCCCCACCTGTTGGATAAGAATTTGGGCGACCTTGAAATATTAAAACTTTAAAAATGCCCCTCTGTCTGGGGGGAGGTTCTTATAAAATTGAACTATACAACAACAACAATAACAACAATGGGGTCGGCTACATGAATCCTTTTTCTCTATTGTGTCATGGTAAAAGTTAATTTCTCATTTAAATTTAATGAAGAAATGTCATTTCTAATATTTTTTAACCAAGTCTTTTTAGGTCTATCTCTACATTTCTTAACATAGGTCAAATCTAATACATCTACTTGCAGCGGGCATTTTCAATAAAATTGACCTATAAAATTGAAAAAAAAGCCCTATCTTGTAGGGGGGATTTTCAATAATTTTGAAACATATCCTTGCTTTATAAGAGAGTTTGAGGACAATGAATTCGCTTATAATGATGATTCAAATATAAGCATAGAAATGTAAATCATTATCCTAATTGATTTGCCATACATTCTTAAGGATTATTTTGAATATGAAGCAAAATTTAAATTTGAATATGAAACTAAAATCATAATTTGAAATTTTAAGCAACTCAATGGAATTTGATTCTAAATCTTTGAGTGATTCACCTCTTTTCATGATTTAACCATTATACATCTTGTAGTTATTTCTTTCCCTGAACTTGCAATCAATCATTTTGTTGCATTGCATGTTGAGCATTTACATGAATTTATACTGATTTTCAATCGAATTTTATTAGAAATGATCATATGATAATCATGTAAGCTCATTTTGACGTTTGAAAATAATTCATGAATTTCTATTGTTTAGTTTGTCAATTTTCGCACATGATTTGCACTCTCTATATTTGTCTTTATCTTCCAGAGCTATAAAGTATTGCTATATTAGTAGTCAGCAATGATTTAATGCGTTTATACATAATTTGCCTTTTAATATTAGTATTTGGTATCCTTTTAATGATGTAATTCTCTTACCAAATTGAGGCACCATCAAAACCCCTATACTTGATGATTCTACAAGGGAATTTATGCATGTCAAGATGTGGTTCTATTTCTATTTCTTCTACCATTAGCATATGGAAATGCTTTAATATTATTTGACAAGATGGATATATTGTTTGCTGTCAAGGGGTTTCATGATCCTTCTAACAGAATGCATTATTGGTCTTTCCATTTTACGAATAGATTCCACCACTTACAGTCCAAATAGTTCTACCCGCTCTGGAGGAAATGTTGTATCATCTGCCAACTTGCTTTGTCAAACTAATCTTCTTATCAGCCAAACAAAAGAGTTAAACCATGAAACAAATGAGCTGATCTTCACCGATTTTATTGTCTTTTTAGCTCACTATCATTTACAGAATAATTTTCATTATTTATTTTAAAATTTAAATAATTGAAGTGTACCAAGGATAAGAATGCCTTTATCCTTTAGCTTTAGTTTTATTTTATTTTATTTTATATATAGGACCGCTTGTATGAATTTTTATGATTGATTGTATTATTGAAAGTATGGAATTCATTCAATGTTTTTTATTATTTACATCATGCAACTAATTAGTTATAGTTTTAGCACTGTCTAGTGATCATCATTCACTTGTCAGCAGCACAAGCTTATTATTGTTTGCTATATTGTATTCATGCAGATGTACTCCTTGGCGATCTTCTTGTGGCTGATAACTCTCCTTATCAATTTGAAATCACTTCCTCCATGTATGCTGTTGATAGGATTCAATCAGTGGCAAGTCAAAAACTGAACAAAACTGACTCTCCTTCTCTGCAGCAATCAATGGATGGCAGCCTAGTGAGATCCTCCTCAGCGGGTTCAAGGTTTTTCTATATTTAACTTTACATTATTTTTAAAAAATTTCTTCATTTTTCATATTTATTTTATAACTTTTATTTTTTGTCAGTTTGGATCAGAAATCTATTGACAAACTTGTTGAGGCTTCTACTGCTGAAGCAGAGGCTGTTAGTGCTGTCTGGCGCGCTGCACAAGAAGCATTGGGTGTCTCAGCTGAGAAAGATTTTTCGCAAGAAAATGAATCTGCATATCCTGCTAATAACCAACCTGACCCCTCTGATTCTAATTATACCATACAACCAGATGTGAAGTTACATCCTCGAGCGGTAAGTTAGTGATTTCATGGCGGTCCAATTATCACTTTGTATTAGTGTTTATCTGTAGTGATGATGTTGCAGGTTGTAGTTGCTAAGGAGGCCATTGGTAACTTGGGTGGTTTGATACGGCAACTTTCTTTGGATCATTTTGAAAATGAGAGTAGAAGAATGTATCCAGCAAATGGTGATCAGACCTATCCACCTAAGAAATTCTTAAATAGACAGAAGTCTCCACAGGGCTTACATAAGAAGGTAGGGGTACTACATTTTTATTATTTTTAAAGATGACCAATTGTTTTACTTTTATTTCTCTTTTTGCAGATTATATCTTTGCTTCTTAGGCCAAGAAACTGGCGAGCTCCTTCTAACCGAAGCTTTTTCCTTGATTCTTATGAAGTCGGAGAGCTTTGCTATGCTGCTGAGCAAATATTCATGCAAGAGCCTACTGTTCTCCAACTAAGAGCGCCAGTCAAAGTATTTGGTGATCTTCACGGGCAGTTTGGAGATCTAATGCGTTTATTTGATGAATATGGTTTCCCATCGACTGCTGGGGATATCACGTAAGTTAGAATTTTGACTTGGTGCAGTGTTGATTCATGCGGCATGCTACAAAAGTAATTGATAGATTTATTTTTGTTAGACATCAATTGTTTTCCAATGCCAATGAGTAATAAGAAGGAATTTTTAATAAGACCTAGCGGAAAGAAAGATGCTGCTGCTCAACAGTGGCATTTGTATTTTTTTCAAAATCATTTTGTTTAATATTTGAAGTAGAATCTGAATCAAAACTTTCCTTGTATTTTGAAGAAAAAACTTTTTAATGGCTTGAAGATCATGTTGTGTTGGACCAGTATGAAAAAATAAGAAAAAAGGAAGAGAAAAAATAAATAATTAATTAATTAAAAAATTTGACGAGATGCATCATTTCACCCAAGACACCCCACCCCTCAGGTTTACAAAAACTTATAAAAAAAAGGGAAAAAGGGCTCTCGCATGCATCGTCGAGTCAAAATCCTGCTCTTCTCCTACACCTTCAGCCCTCATGCTCCGACCCTGTAGCCCGTTCAATCCGCATCCCTCTCCCGTCTCCAACCCCTGCTCCCACTTATGAACCTCGTCTACAGCCTTGCTCCCGCACTCGGATCCAATCCCACAATCACGCCCAATAATCAAACCCACCTCGGCCCATCCCTGTCTCTGCCTTCCACGCCAGCTCGCAACGATAGACCTCGACACGTCGGGCATGATCCGGTGCTAACCTAGGGGAAGCCGACGGTTAGGGGCCTTTGGGAGGCCGACCGGTTTTGGGTGGTGGAAGGACGGTGGGTGGCGGTATGGGGGTTGGAAGACTAGGTTTAGGAAGAGTGGGGGGGAACAGGTGAGGTGGTGGCTTAAGGAGGAGAAGGGGAGAAAGAAGAGAAGACAACCACAAGCTCGGACTCCTTCGGCAGCTGGTGGGTATTGCGTTACCCTCTCCTCGGGATTTCACCAAAGAACTCTCAAGATCCACAAGAGAACAAGAAAAACTGAAATTTCATATTATTCATCATTAACCCTCAAAGGAGGGGAAGGCTTTAAATAGCCAATACAAAATGACAAATAAAAAGTACTAATATGCCCCTAGGGCTTACACATATCTAAACCCTTAAGTAAGGGCAAAAGTGAAAAAGACATAATAAAATTCATAAATAAAACTAATGCATCAATAATAAAAATGAACATCAAAAGTAGAGCGGCGCAATTGTAGCTGTAGATTGTCTGATAGACTTTTCAAGGCCGGATGTCCTCATTAGAAGCTGCAATTATGCTATTCCATCTAGATGAAAAATGGCATCACAACCTTCATATATAACCAAGACTCGCCCTAGTGAATCTACATTCTTGATACAGCCTAATTTTAACCCTACATACATTTGGAAAATATTCCTAAATATAACGTGGAGAGAAGTTTAGGCGTGGAGAGATGGCATGGAGGTGTGTCTGTTTGTAAAAAGCTTTGGAAACAACTTGGAAGCTCTCAGCCAAGCAAGGTGCCTCAGCCAAGAGGGTGGCCGGAAGAGCAGATAAATAAAATATCAAAGCTGTCTTCATTCCATTGATTTCTCCAATACACCTGCATAAATTTGTTAAAAGAGTAAAACCTGGAATCCAGGTTATATTGGGTGATATATCTTCAGTCACTATTTTGCTTGTTGCTTGCATATCTACAACATTGAACATATTCTATCTTTCCTGAAGCATCTTAACTAAATTTAAATAACAACTAAATATACTAAAGTTATTTCTTGACTTTATAGAATATTCTAGAATATCACCTTTGCTCAAATTTTTGTATCCGTCAGAGTTTTGGTTGGTTCCCATATTCGAAGGCTAGTGCTTAGTACAATTAACCTTAGGGAGCTCTGGTCAAGGAATTGTACCAAACCCTCTGATGGGCTCTGCTATGTACACTATTGATCTATGGGTGATGTATACCAAATCACATTGTTTGAAATTTTAGTTTTCGACTTAGATATTCCAAAGTATTTGCTATAATTGCACACATAACATCGTGCATATATATTAGTGTTTTTGTAATTTATTTAATTGGATATAGATGTGAGACTCTTGGGAAATCTTTCAGGTATATTGACTATTTGTTTCTGGGAGATTATGTTGATCGAGGACAACACAGTTTGGAAACCATATGTTTGCTTCTTGCTCTTAAGGTGCAGTTTAGCCTCAACACTTTGCATGCTTATTCACAACTAGTGTTGATTTCTTCTTTTTTTCTTGTGCAATGCTTTAGTTCACTAAATTATAATTCAACTATTTGCAGATAGAATATCCAGATAATATCCATATAATTCGAGGAAATCATGAGGCTGCTGATATAAATGCTCTTTTTGGTTTTCGCCTTGAATGCATTGAAAGAATGGTGAGAAATTTATATTTTTTATGCTTCATGGTGGAGAAATTTGAAGCTTTTTGTAGCAAAAAGAAAAATGCTTTAATGAAGAAGAAAAGTACTAACTTTGAAGCTTATGTAGGGAGAAAGTGATGGAATATGGGCATGGACTCGTTTTAATCAGGTCTTCAATTGCCTCCCTCTTGCTGCACTCATTGAGAAGAAAATTATTTGCATGCATGGTGGTATAGGGAGGTCCATAAACACATTAGAGCAAATTGAGAAAATTGAAAGGCCAATAACGATGGATGTTGGATCGATTATTCTAATGGACCTTCTATGGTAATTTCTACAACCATTATAGTTAATATGGTGATTTCTCTTAAACCATTACTATGCTTAATATGATCTATTATCCATTCATATTTCTACACTTTTCAATTTTCAGGTCTGATCCTACAGAGAATGATAGCATAGAGGGCTTGAGACCAAATGCGAGAGGTCCCGGTCTAGTCTCTTTCGGGGTATGTTGATAATATTTTTTAAATATTGCATTTGAACGACATGATGGTTTTTGCTTCAAATTTAATTTGAATTGATTCCTCATGTTATTTGAATTAATTAATTGATTTGATCATTCTTTATGATCAATTAATAATTGGTGATTTAAGTAAATATCAAAATTAGTTATAAACTAGTGATTGGAGTATAAGATTATGAGATTTTAATGGACCTTAAATATCAATATACATGATGAAAAAGTTTTAGTAGCTTTATATGACTTCGATTTAAAATTAACTCTTTAGTATTTGATAAGTTGATAGATTTGACATTGAAAAATATGTTTATTTTCAAATAAAAAAGAAAATAAATTTTAAGGTATGAAAAATTAGGATGATGTAACTTATAATGCCATGACATAAAATTTTGTTTTTTTTTTTGGTAAAGAGAAGATTCCCGATTGATAGCAAAAATATGTGTAGAAAAGTAGATATATAAAAACTATTTTAAATTGTATTGTTTATTTTTCGTATACAAATTAGAAGTATTTAGGCTCATTCGAGGATATTACATATTGGAAAAGGTAAATGCAATTTACACAATAAATAAATAAATCCAAAAAAGGCACCAACAGCTTGGTGAAAGGAGAGGAGCACATGGATTGCAATCTGTTGACCCACCACCTACAACCATCATTGTTGTCACCGGCCACCGCCACCGGCTACCACGGCCACGCGCCACCACCCTCTTTAGACTTGATATTGCATTCATTTTACTTCAAGCTCAACAAAAAAAAAATCTCACATATTTCTTTTTCATTCATTCAAACAACTCCAAAGTATTCATTTTACACTGCATTACTTTTATAATATATTTATTTTACATTACAATCTTTTTTCAGCCAACCAAACAACCCCAAAATGAAAATGGAAACTGCTAGCCAGAGTAACTATGGCATCATTGCATGGCTTCTCTTGGTTTAGAATCATGTGTTTGAATGTTAACTTTAGTTAATAAGAGCTTTGTATTCTGCATACTAACTTCAGCTTCTGACATGGGATTATGTCTTCACAAGTCTATTTCTCTTTCGCATGTGGGCCCAACTTTTATCCTAACATTGTTTTTATTTTATGAATCCAAGCATTGGGAAGCAAAAAGATCATTGATAGATAATTTGAGCATAGAAGAAATGAGAATGCTAAGAGAGATGTGTGGTAAAACTATGAAAGATAGATTGTGAAATGATTATATTAGAAATGGTGAGAGATACTTATCTATTAGTGTAAAATAGACTTTTAGGTGGTTTGGGCAAGTTCAAAGAAGTGGAAGATGCACCAATAATAAAGGTAGATAAATTTGATCCTAGAGGGTTAGGATGAAAAAAATATAGATGAAAGGTACCTTGGATGGAAATTGTGTAAAATGACTAATGTCAAATAATTTTAGACACATCATACAACACTCATTAGGGATGAATGAAAAATGAGAATTCATAAAGCCAAACTCGAATCATTGTGATAATGATAGTGATGATGATGTTGAAATATCAATATATCCAGTATATGAACTTTTATCATATGGATGCCTTGGAATTATAGAATTGAGTTAATCAGTTTTTTATTGGTGGAAAATAAAAAATTAATCACATGAACATTTTAGAACTTGTTTATGATCCCGTCAAGGAAAAGCATATTTGTGACATTTTTTTTTAAGTTACCGCACCTGCCTTGAGCATTTGCCATGCACTTTTTGGTTAAATCTCTTCTCTGCTCTCGTAGACATTTATGCTGATGCCTTTCTAAACTTGCAGCCTGATAGAGTTACAGAGTTCTGTAAGAAGAACAAACTACAACTTATCATAAGAGCTCATGAATGTGTGATGGATGGCTTTGAAAGATTTGCTCAGGGGCAACTTATCACTTTGTTTTCTGCTACTAATTACTGTGGTAATCCTACAGAATTTTACTGATTCATCTTATCATATTGTCACAAATTTATCTGCATTTCTCCTAATACTCTTTGATTTATCCACATATGATAGTTCTATTCTAAGGCTTGCCTTGTTTCAGGAACTGCAAATAACGCTGGAGCAATCCTGGTGATTGGTAGGGGATTAGTTGTGGTTCCAAAGTTGATTCATCCACTTCCACCACCACTTCAATCACCTGAGTCATCTCCAGAGCGTGTTTTAGAAGATACGTGGATGCAGGTGAGATTGTGTTCTACTTTGAGGGGTCATTTAGTTTCTTGTGGATAGAAAAAACAAGGAAATTTGCTAGATTGGATCATTTGGTTGGATAGAATAAGAAATCAAGTATGGATATTAAAACTCCCAAAACCCCTTGCTGTAATGACTTCATTCAACCTAAAATTTATAGTTTATTAATATATTATAATATTTAATTAAATTTATAGTTTATTAATCAATAATTATTAGATTCTTAAATTATAATAAACATTATTAGTGTCACGACCCGGCCCGGTTAGCTCGTAGATACGAGGCGGGAACGAGATCGGACGTTTATATAAGTAACTAATCATTCTTCAAGTAAATAATACTATTCAATGAAATCTTCAAAGACAAAAAGCGCCACTAAACAATTTCTATTTTCATTCCAAAAAGTGTTTTCAAAATAAACAAGATGGCTAACTACCAACCAACATGCTAAGCCATCCAAAATTATAGTAAGAGACTACAACAAGTAAAACTACTATAAATGAACCTGTCACCCGGGGTACGACGACTATATGTAAACCTCGGGTTGTCAGCCATCTCTTCTACCAGGTTCTCCTGAAAATTCCCAAAACTAGGGAGTGAGCTACGCTCAGTATGTGACAAATTTCAATCTAAAATTCATACAATGGGGAATGTACTATGCAAGATACCAATGCAAATCAATATAAGGTAAATGTTTTGTTATATGTAAGGTTGATGCTTTGATGTAAGGATGTCATATGTAGAAGTTATGTCATTTGTAA